AAATATTGACCCACTCAGTCATGCTGGGTGTGTGCCAATACCGTGCAACAAGATACAAGATGGTCAATTATTTCTGGTTTTTATCACAGAATCTGCATTTTGGACTAACACAATTTTTCAGTGTGTCGTCTCTGTAACTTCTAGTTACCAAGCATTCATCCTGTGCAACAAGACTAAACTCTTTATTATTATTATGATGAGTAGTAGTAGTAGTAGTCGTACTGGTTTCGATTTATGAGGACGCAAAAGTTCAGTTAACAGGACATAAAATGTAATTATTCAGTTGTTATGTCAATCCAACTCGTGACAATTGCATCGTCAACACAAACTGTTCAATCTGCATTTCACTCTTAAAGCTTTCAAATTTTATAGCAGTTTATTCTTCCTTTAATAATATTAATTTCAAAAGACGGAAGGAGAATCATAATATTCTTTAGGATTTATTTAAAAATCAACCGTTGTATGGCTCATTATACAATAAAACTTTTGCCTGTCTGTTTGCACTCATTTATATAACAATGCTATTACTTTTGACTTACACCTAAATGGAGTCAATATATTCTATGTACATTTGTTAAATATATTTACGTTTGAGACTCACACGCACACACACACACACACACATATGTGTATATGTGTGTGTGTGTGTGTGTGTGTGTATAAATTACATGAACGATTTTCATACATATTTATATTCATTATTTTTATAGTTATATTTGGTTAAATAAATTCTGTTTTTTAATACAACTGTATTAATTACATTTATGGTTTTGAATGTTCGGAAAATTTCGTATAAAATAAATTTCTATAAAAATAACGTATAAACAGAAAATATATTAAATAATTGTCGGACTTAATCAATTTAATATATATATATATATATATATATATATATATATATATATATATATAAAAGAAATAGGAACGCTGATCTTAAAAAGATAAGAACGTTGACCGGAACACTACCGTAGTTTCAACCGGCACAGTCTTGTCATTTGGTTTGTTGAACGAATCAGAGGCAAAAACTTCAACGACTTCATTCGATACCGGAAGTGATGGGGAGTGGAGTTGTATGGGGAAAATATATAAAATAATTAAAAAAATTAAAAATTAAAGTGAAAAAAAATTCAAAATTTTATCCTGGTTGGTTTAGCCGTAAAATTAACTTCCTGGCGTATCTACATTTGGCCACTTTTAACGTATATTTCAGTGTTTGTTCATTTTCGGCGTATATATATATATATATATATATATATATATATATATATATATATATATATATATATATATATATATATATATAAGAGAGAGAGAGAGACAGATAGACAGACAGACAGAGCTTTGATAAATTTGATGTTTGACTTATGAAACTATAACATGATCCGAAAAGTAGAATTTGAAAGGGTGTTTAAAAGATTCACTTCTGTTGAGTCATGAAGGGGGTGCTGAAAATGTTCTCCTCAATTTACTCAAAGAAGAGCCACATTCTCAACACCAATTTTCGCGGTTAATTGTTAAAAATTCTTTGAGGAGTCCAAAAACAAACTGCAATTGTTCAAACTGGTGAATTTCATAAAAGCTGGCGAGTTTAATATATTTGGTAGGTTTTTACAAGAAAATTGTTTGTTGTCATCGCTTTTTCCTCAGTTTAGCTTTGTAATTAGTTATATATATATATATATATATATATATATATATATATATATATATATATATATATATACATAGCGCTCTTTCTACATACGTCTTATACACACACACATATACCTTTTCTATCACTAATTCTATTTTCTATCTATCACTCTTCTCTCTATCTATCTATCTTTCTCTATACACACACACACACACACACACACACACATATACATATATATATATATATATATATATATATATATATATCTTTATTGAGTCATCTTTTTTCAAACCAGAAAAAAATGTGAATCATAAACGCTTCAGGTATTCATCTCTCGGCAAAACAAATTTAGTGCAACGTTAATTGACTAAATCTGTTCACGTGTCCTAATAATGCTATATTTGTAGAAAAACAATAAAATAAAATGTAATAAAAGTAACTGAACAAAAAACGCAAAACTGTGACATAAATTTTCATAGAGTTTAATGTTGAAAATATAATTCCTGTACCTAAATCTTTCCGGAAGCTAAGACGTACGATTTTTGTTTTTTGTTATTGTTGTTGTTGTTGTTGTTGTCGGTTTTTTGGGGTTTTTTTTTTTTACATTTTAAAGTAGGGGAATAAATATCTTACATTTATTTTGAACGTTTCATTATTTTTTTTTTTTTTTCATTTTTCATTTTTTATTTTCGTAATTAACGAAATAGACTTTATCATTCGGCCTTAAAAGCTAGTTTTCTTCTTTCAATTTTTCTATTTTTACACCACAGTGTAAAATATTTCCACTTTTACACCACATTGATCATAAATTAGGCCCTATACACCCATTGCAGTCGATATACTTGTAATTGTATTGTCCTTTAAAAGTATTATTGAAATCTCCTGTTTGTTTTCTACAATATTGAACCGACCTTTTCATATCTCAATGATCTTCCGACTGTTCCTTAAAAGAAACACTAGACATAAAAGATTTTCGAATTTAATTATCAACATTCAGTAGTGAGTAATGATAAAAGCATTCGAAAAATGGTTTTGTGCATACAGCAACCGATATAAAATGTTAAATAACTAACATGAAAACACTAATCTGAATGAATTAACGTATAATCTATATTTATCTGATTCGATTTGTGTTCCCAGGTGTATTTGTTACTGTAGCACAACAACAATAGTACATTGAGCGTGATTTTTCTTAGATCAATGTCGTTTAAACGTTTTAATGTCAAGAATATGCAATTTTTGTTTGAAATGTTCAACTTAATCAATAATAATAGTAATAAATCTGTGTTCGTGAGCTTCCCAATAATAATGGTCGCATTTTCGTTTGCTACAACGCCTGAAAAGAGAATCATATCTATATGTATATATTTGTGTTCATCTAAAATAATGCCCGAAAGCCAATCAAGGTAGAAGAGCGTAAGTACTGAAGTTTTGGGGGTTATGCGAGAAAAATTACGTCTAACTCAAGATTTTTGTGTTGCGAATGTACCGACTTTAGAAGAAACCGAAAATTGAATCCTAAACAGGAAACATGGGATAAACCTCTCCTCTTATTCAAAATACCGGAAAGAAGTCTGAACCGGACGATAGGCGAACCTATCTACTCATATTGGGAGAGGAAATAATAACAATAAGGGAATAAAATTTCAGATTTCAGGAGGAGACGCTATCAAATTGTGAATTTGCCTATTCAAAAAATGAATACATTTAAATAAATAAAATCAACAACGAAATAATGAAAATAAAATAAGACAAATTATAATTAAATAAGCAAACGATATAAGAAAACATCTCTGTCCACTTCTCCAGCAAAATCTCGTCCATATTAACCGATCATTTCAAGCAAGGGAAATCAGAAACAGCATTCCGAGATGCTCTGGAAAAATGTATCTTTTCCGACGGAATTCATTTTCGCTTCCCCCATCTCCTTCATCATCACTTCGAAATATCTCATATCAATCGACGCCCACCCGCCATGATACACCACCTCAGTAAGTCAACCCTCTCTTTCCACGATGATTAGTATTTGATTTGGTTTGGGGGTTTTTTCTGAATGTGCAAGAAATATGGTGAGATATGAGTACAAATGAGTACAAATTTTGGCCAGACTTTTTAGGCTGGCAAAAAATGATTACAAGCCAAATTACGGATTTACCCATTCATAAATGAGTACACTTAAATAAATAAAATCAAGTGAAGAATAAACAAAATACAATAAGACAAAATAAAATTGAATAAACAAACAGTATAAGAAAACATCTTTGTCATGTACTCTCCTGAAATTTCGCCAATATAAACCAAAACGACCAAAAACAGAATTGTTTGGGAAAATAGACAAACACGGGAGTGAAAGAAAACGAAACTGGAATGGTTATTCTATCGAGAATATTTCCTGAAAGAAAGTTCAAATTCAAGGTATGTTCATAAAAAATGTAAGATTTAACCTTATCTTTTTGTGGGTTAAATAGTGAGTGAGGTGTATTAACTAAGTCATGTGCGTCTATTTACAGGGCGCGTCAATTTTAGCATCCTATCACGACCTTGGCACAAAAGAAAAAAGAGAAAGCTGGCATTTTCCGATGCATACCATGGATGTTCCTTGTTTTTTATCATAGAAGAAAAATGTATAAACTATTTTTAATTGTAATATAAAACATTGACATAAATTTATTTTATATAATTATTTTTATATTTATTTTTACATATATTAATATAGATATAAAAGTTAACAGATAATTACGAGGTAGTTTTCTGCATTTATTTATAGGCAAATAATTATTGTATACATTTTATAAACAGAAAGGGACTTTTAATCGAGTTCAACAGGTAAATTTTAATCGGGTCATGACAGGATTTCATTTTAAAAATGCAAACAGAAAATAAATTTCTTAAATATACAATTGTTAACGAGAAGAACAAATTAAACCAACGGACACAAAAAAAAAAAAACAATTCAAAAGGAGATTTCCAAACGAACAATAAAAAAAAATGAGGTCGATCAAATTTTTAAATAAAAATTTTCTCATACATTCAACTCTGGAACTTTGTCCATTGTCTCTGTCACTCATACATTTATTTTACATTTACAATCTTTTAAAAGAAAATTAACATATTCTTAAGAAAGATTCCACTCAATGCGTTCACGTAAAAACTAATTACAAAAGGTGAAACTTAATTTGAATTAAAAGAAATTAGTTAATTTAGAAATGAATTAATTTTTGAATGAATAAGACGTGAACAATATATTTGAATCAATTTTAGTGGGTTTCTAATCCGTACAGATGTGGAAGTTCAAATTTATGCACTTTAGAAGAAAGTATATTTTTGACATTGTCACATCGTACTTAAAATACACTGAAAATTATCAAGCTGTAACAATAGTTAAATACTTTCCCATATCAGTATAAAAGGAAAGAAGGAAAGAAAAATGAGAAGGAAAGTTAGAAAAGAAAGAAAGAAAGAAAGAAAGAAAGAAAGAAAGAAAGAAAGAAAAACGAGAAATGGAGAGAGAATAAAAAGAAAGAAAAATGGGGAAGAATAAGGAAAGAAAGAAAAACGAAAAAGAAAGAAAGAGAAAGAAAAATATAAAAGGAAAGAAAAATAAAAAACGATAGAAAAATAAAGGAAGAGAAAGAAAGAAGAAATGATAGAGAGGAAAAACTCAAAATAGAATGAAAAGAAAGAATGGTGTGAAAGAAAGGCAGATAAAAAAGAATGAAAGGTGAGAAAGAAAGGCAGATGGAAAAGGAAGAAAAGTGAGAAAGAAAGATAGATGAAAAAGAAAGAAGTAGAAATCGAAACGTTATTCAATATTTGACTTTCTTCTGTGCGTGATTTTTTTACTACTCTCATCATTTTCACAATGTTTCAATCTCTAAATTAGTTGCCCTTCTTCAGATGAATATGTTTCTTGTAGAACTTTGCACTTTCTTTCATCCAACTTATCCTCTAGCTTTTAGGTTATAATCTTATTACCCTGATTTCTGATTATTTTTTGCTTCAACCAACACAACTCTGGAAAAAAACTGAAGAAAAATGGCGAATAAAAAGGTTGAAAAGTTAGGAAAAAATCCAACAGAAAGTGAACCCCCATCGAAGAGCAGCAAAGATTTATCGCATAATCAGAGACCAAGAAAAAAAATACAACTAAATGCAAATACTGAAAATGAAAGAGAAAGGATGAGAAGAACTGATGAGAGCCAAAAGGAAAAAAATAGTAGGAATTAATGGGGAGATGAAGAGAGTAAAGATTTGAATAAGAGGTCGTTTGTATGCGGTTCCCTTTTTCCACAACCGGCCGAGTGGCTGTATTCTTTGTTTAGTCGATCTAAAAATGTTTACATTTGAAAGTTCCAACGAAAAGCCACTGATTCTTTTCTCTCAGCGGAATGGCCATACCATTAATACACACTCTTATCAGTTCTAGCGCATGTTTATCGTACATTACCCTCGTAACGTGGCCACATACAAGGTGTCTCAAAAAGATACCACCGCCACCACCGCCGCCGCCACCACCGCCAACACCACCACCACCGCCGCCGCCACCACGTGCTTTAAAGAGAACAAGAGAGGCAGGGGCGGAAAGAAGAAAACTAATGGTTGTCCACTTTGGACCTTTTCTGACCGTTCGTAGTGCGCAGACGTAAATTATCGCGCTTTTCGTGACGGGTAATGGACAGGCTCTCTTTCTTACTGTAAATATTCTTCGCTTGTTTGATCTTCAAACGGATCTTTGTAATGCTGCTTATGCTTTGCATTACGGGAAACATTTCATTTCGACCATGCCGATTAGCGACATCTGTTAGCAAATACAAGAGTGTTTAGTGACAGGCGCATACACTATATGAGAACACCGTTTGCATCTCTATCCGTCTGAATGTCTCTTTATATAAAGTTTGTTCTTATCTTTCCGTTTAGTTTTTATTGTATCGTCCTTAGTATTTTGCAATTAACTGTATCGTTATATGGCTGTCCTGCAATATCTGTCTGGGTTAAACATTTATTACTCGAGTCAGTGATCAATTTAACAATTCCTTTATGAACATGTTTCTGTGTTTATAATCTTTCTTAGGCCTTCATACCTATTTATCACAGACAATTAATAACTATATATCAGTATATATATATATATATATATATATATATATATATATATATATATATATGTATGTATGTATGTGTGTGTGTGCGTGCGTGAATGTGTATAGATAGATAGATAGATAGATAGATAGATAGATAGATAGATATGTGTGTGTGTGCGCGCGCAGATATGTAAAAAAATAGGAAAGAACACGTTAGGTAAATAATCCGGAGTTCTTTAGTATTTTTGTTTTTATTTTAAAAAAAACAGTGCTCCATACAGAAGTAGAGCTTAAATTGTAATTATTTTTTTAAAAAAATATGATTCCTTCGCTACATAAGAGTTCTCATGTTTCAAAAACGAAAGCCTAAATTTTTGCTTGAGGATGAAACAGGGCTTGATACTTTAATTCTATGAAATTTTAATAATTATATTGAGGTTTTCGGCTCTCGTTTTTGAAACCTGAGAATTCTTATGTAGCGAAGGAATCATATTTTTTTAAAAATAATTTTATATATATATATATATATATATATATATAGTCACGCACACACACGCACACACGTATATATTGATATATAGTTATCAATTATATATATATATATATATATATATATATATATATATATAAAGTGGAGATTGAAGTCATCATCCAGCGGTTACAGTCTGTTTCAGTCTTAAATGGAATCGTCAGGCCATATGCAATGCATTTTGGCTCGAATATTTATATATGATGGACAGTCGTGTATTATGTGTAGGTCTATTATATTGTTCTAACGGTTAATTGAGTGGGAAGTAACGGTTATGTTTCGAATTATTCTAAGGGCTACAGAGTGGAAATGATACGAATGCTGTTTCGTGGCTATTGTGTAGTGTTGTTTGTAAAAAAATTAAATAACCATTATTTATTATTGATGATTTTATTTAATGTTGGTTCTTTCATATTTTCATACGCTCTATCCCTAAAATTTAGCACTTAAAGACATAAATTATCATCCCTTATCATACCTTAAAACTGTATATATATATATATATTTAAGACATAAATTATCATACCTTAAAACTGTATGTGTATATATATATCAATCTTTCATATCTAACTCGTTCATCATATATATATATATATATATATATATATATATATATATATATATATATTTCTTTAAAAGGATATTATATTCGAACATATGTACCTGCTACATCAATGTATCCATGTTTCGATATATATATATATATATATATATATATATATATATATATATATATATATGCCAATCTATTTCATCTTGTCCATATATACCTGTCAGTGTGCCTATAACAATCAATTCGTATCTATTAGTCCATCTGTAGTTCGTCTGCATCTCTCTGTCATATATATATATATATATATATATATATATATATATCGACAACTTCGTGTTTATTTTTTTTCATCTATAGCTAATTGTGCCGATATATATTTTTCCTGTGCTCTTTGCATATAACTGTCTATGCATCTGTTACATATCTGTATAAAATTTGTGAATGCACTGCAAGACAATATTCTATGTAAACATGATATTCGGATAGATAGATAGATAGATAGATAGATAGATAGATAGATAGATAGATAGATAGATAGATAGATAGATAGATAGATAGATTTTGGTTGTTTAACAAACGCCTTGCGCCTATATGTCTGAGGGAAATTGCATCTCAAATAGCTAACTACAGCTTTGAGAAACGTTTATGATTACTATTCTGGTTATACAATTTCTGGTGATTAACATATAAAGTAAGTAACCCTCTTTATCTAGTCTAACTGCTGACTATAAACAATACGATACGCAGTTATCCAAAATATGTTAAAAGTAAAATGTCTTGGTTCAGATTACTCCCAAGATAAATATAAACTACTTTCATTTATATAATATAATTAGATACAAAATCTCTTTTATTATTAACGTGTCTATCTTTCTCTCGCTCTATCTATCTATCTATCTATCTATCTTTTGTGATTCTACTCACCCTCGCTTCTTTCGTTACACTCAGTAGTAATTACTCTTTGACAATCCCTCTTGTATCTCCATCGCTTTGCTCAAATATTTTAATACCTGCACGCCCGCCTCTTTTTGTTGATTTCGATGAGTCTTGAGAGTGTTAAATTTTTCAAGCCATCTTTCCATTTCAGTTGTCTTTTTCTAATTCTTAGCAACAGTTTCCATATAATTGTTATTCTCCTTAACGTTTTATTTATTTTTCACATTTTCTACCGATGGTTTTTCTCAACATTCGATGATAGAAAAACATTTCAATCACTACAAACTTTTTCTTTATCCATAACGACAACTTCATTGTCTCCTTCTATGAACGGCAACATTACATAGCAGTCCGGCGTTTTTTGTTTTTTTTTCTTTGTTTCTAATGTTATTTTTTAACCCGTAAGTAACTTATTCAATTCTTAAAAAGCGTCTTTCACTATTCATATGCTACTTCCGGTTTCTATGTCACATTTCCTGCTAACAAGATTGTTGAATTGTCGCCGCTGCTTGATTTGGACATCTCCAATTCGTAACTGACACATCGGCTCGCACCCTTCTCCTCCCAACAATGTGCACACCATTTTCTTTCAATTAATATTTCGTCTTTCTTGCTTTCGTTAACTAAATTGTCCAATAATACTTTCAGTTCTCTTTCCGATTCTGTCATCGAAACATTATCGGTTTTTTTTTTTTTTTGTTAAGCTTACGTCCACCGTTTGCAAATCCTTAGAGGTGGTCTTATTTTCTGGGAATGATCTCGCTGCCTGCACAAAAATAAAACCGATAAAAAAAGACATCATTATTACAGTGCTTTTACGATGTTAGTACTCGCCCAAATATTCTCACGAGATAATTTAATGTTCTATTCTTACAGTAGGTTTTTGTTTTCCGTTTTTAAATATCGTTTCTATATTATTTCATGAGGGCATTCCGTAACAGAAAATGTTTTCGTCAGAGTTTTACGGATTCACTCGGAAAATTAATATATGTAATCAACACATATCTTTGGATTGCCACTACCGACAGGATACTTTGACATCCAAATCTAGAATCTTCTTTAAATAAAAATAATACTGAATAAATTATGGATTTAAGTAAAGTTAATTGTATTAAGATAGAATATAAGAAGTAATATTCTCTAATTTTCTATCTATAGTATGCTTTCGAATGATTATTTAAGGTAAGTAGACCCTTTCTTATTTAAAAATTTGACGTAACACAGTCTTGCTATCTAATTGAGCCTTTGGCTGCTCTAGTCTAAATTTAGTAAGTATTTAAAGAAACAGTAAAGTGCCTATAAGCAAACAATATGTCCATTCGAATTCAATGTTGTTACCCTTATATATTCCTTAAATAAACTAGTTGCAGGTTAAAACTTAGTCTAAATCATCTTGTTTTTTGGTGGTTGGTTTAGCCTCATGACAATGTTTATTGTTAGTTTGTGTCGAAATCAGTTAAAACTATTGAACACTCGTTAAGAATCAATCTCGGTACTAATGATCAACCACACGTCCTTACTAACCATTACCCAATGCCAAAGCGTCTTATAGTTGATTTAACCCTTGACTTGAAAAGGATTATAAAACGTCTATTTTCCATAGAACAATCTTTATATTTGATGTTTTTAACAAAATCCTTCAACGCATAGATTCTTCAGCATTTCGTATTGTTTGACATGAAATATTTAATTATTTCATGTATTATGAGAAATACAGACTTCGTCATGACTGACTTTCATTACATCTTCACCAGCTTTCTTTAAATGTGTGCTCCGATAAATTTTAGAAACCGCCTTATTTTTTAAAAAATTATGTAACACTCAGCGGTAAAGCTTTGTTTGGGTTTTGACTATGGAGAGAAAATGAAGAGAATAGGAAAAGTAAAACATCCAATATGAGGAAGGGCAATAAAATCTATATCTGCCGAAAGGTTGAAGCTAAACAAGAATGAAGAAAATGTATAGAAAAACAGTCAATCTCAGATGATCTGAAAACAATTGAAGAGGGAAAAATTGGAAGAAAAGTCATAAACTTCATGGAAGGAAGGAAGGAAGGAAAAGAAAAAGGAAGGAACCTATTGAGAGAATAAACGTGAAAGGAAGTCTCATTAAGAAAAGTATAACTCGTTGAATACAGATAGGATGGAAGGAAGTAAGGAAAGAAGGAAGGAAGGGAGGGAGGAAGGAAGTGAAAAAGGAAGAAACGAAGAAAGGAAGGAAGGAAGGAAGAGAAAAAGAAAGGAACGAACGAACGAACGAACGAACATAGGAAGGAAGGAAGGGAGGAAGGAAGGAAGAGAAAAAGGAAGGAACGAACGAACGAACGAACGAACGAACGAACGAACGAACGAACGAAGGAAGTAAGGAAGGAAGGGAGGAAGTAAAAAAGGAAGGAAGGAAGGAAGGAAGGAGAAAAAAAAGGAAGGAAGAGAAAAGGAAGGAAGGAAGGAAGGAAGGAAGGAAGGAAGGAAGGAAGGAAGGAAGGAAAAAAGGAAGGATGAAAGAAAGAAAGGAAGGAAGAGAAAAAGGAAGGAATGAACGAACGAACGATGGATGGAAGGAAGGAAGGAAGGAAGGAAGAAAGAAAGGAAGGAAGGAAAAAGGAAGGAAGGAAGGAAGGAAGGAAGGAAGGAAGGAAGGAAGGAAGGAAGGAAGGAAGGAAGAAGAGGTAATAAATGAAAGGTGAATCAGAATTGAACATTAAAAAGAAAACGAGACTGGAGAGGAGAAACGACTGAAATATCGATTTTGTAGGCACGAAAATCTTACTCACTTACAATCTTGGAGCTACACAATCTTCTTACATTAATTCCTTCACTATCATGTCAATAGAGAATGTTAGATAAAAACTGGAAACTCCTTTGTTAGCTGATATTGACGAATATTTCCCACTTTACACCAGCGGACGACATTCAAGCTTACCTAATATGATAGATAATGCTGATTTAAAATTAAGATGGCCCTCCCCAATTAAACGAGAATCGCAGTACAGTCTTACTACTCCGCATTTTCCTTTATTTGGCTCTGCTGAACTAAGTTGTGACAATGGAATATAAATGAAATAAAAGAGAATAGAGTAGAGGCTAAATGAAGATCAGATGAGAGAAAGAAATGAAGAACATAATTGACGAAGTGGTGAGGGTATGATGAGGCCATGATGCCTTGTCGTAAGTTCTGAGAGTCTGTCGGTAGAGACGTCGGCGTTTCATGCTAATGTTGCCGCTGTAATATGGAATTGAAATTTCCATTGTTGCTTAATCGACGCCTACTGCTTGGGTCGGACAAAAGACAATCAACCAACACATCCTTCTCCTACCCGGACACTAACCGTCTTTCCTTAATAAATTTTGCCTTTCTGCTTCCTTCGTATTTGCTTCTACAGTGTTTTGCGAATGGAATTCGATGTACACAATTACATGCATGTTTCAAAATGCACTAAAATTTTGCAACAGAATGGGTCAATGCCCTGATACGAAATTCTTGACTGAAAGATGTTATTTCACTGCATTAGTACTCGATATATATATATGCTTAAGAGTCAACACTAAATTAAGTGAATTGACAAGGAAATATATTATTTTCAAAACTAAATATTTGGAGTGTAAAATAAATATCTTTTACCATTTGAGTACTGACTATTGAACTTCCGTTCGTTCGAATGTAAATATAAAATTTTTTTACGTTCATTTCCTTGTATGAGCGTGTCAGTGTATGTATGTGTGTGTCTGTGTATGTGTGTGTGTGTCTGTGTATGTGTGTGTGTGTCTGTGTATGTGTGTGTGTATGTGTGTGTGTGTGAATAGCAGTAGATATGAGGACCAACGTGCAAGTTTTATGTGTATGTAGCAATATGTACATATATTGTGCGTGGGTATGTGTTCTTGGGGAGTCTACGCACATACAATTATTTACAGAAATGAACATGAATGGATTTTAAAGCCCTGAACACACACACACACATATATATATATATATATATATATATATATATATATAACTGAAGATTGCGCTTATGCATGAAACAATTTGTAGCCACTTGTTGTTGACGTCAGTGTCCCCTATATATATATATATATATATATATATATATATATATATATATATATATATATATATATATATATATATATATATAAATGTTATAAATATAAGCAGCTATACTCGTCCGGCAAAACCTTAGGTGTGTTAGCTTGTAAATGAACAAACCAATATCCAAGGGAAAAAAAGGGGTAAAAAAAGAAAGAACTAAGAACATATACTTCCCGCGAAAATAATCGTCTAGAATCGAAATTCAGAGTCCAAAGAAAAGACCCTCCGACACGAGTAAAGTAAAAATAACTAAGCAAAGTGCTCAATACGCTAAGTAGTGCAAACTAAGTAAACATAAAGAGCCAGACAAATCTACCTAGTTTTCACCTACGCAGATCGTCAGCCAGTTTACCCTGACGATCCGCGTAGATGAAACCTAGGTAGGTTTGTCTGGCTCTTTAGGTTTACTTATTTATATATATATATATATATATATATATATATATATATATATAAACCCTCTTTATTTATATTAGAAGTAATTAAATTGAATTAAATCAATCATTTGAGGTATTGATATTAAATACAAATCCCAACCCTGAAATTTCATAATTTATCTTTCTTTATTTCTTTCTATTGTTTCAAACATTGGATAATATTAAGAACTTGCAAACATCAAATATCGCCGAATTAGCTTACAACCAAACTGCATTGATCGCTTTTGAATTAGTTCAACGGATCGATTTTATTTTATATGTAGCATTAAACAGTTGAATTTTATTTAATACGTCCGTTCAACGTCAGGGGCACCCCTGCATTAACTCGTCATAAGAATCGTAGCCATTACACAGTGAAGATATGCAAATGTTTATTTCTTTCTCCGTGAGCTGGATCTCGCGTTAAATTTTCTTCTGATGGTCCAGAGACCGAAAGTTAGAAGCTTCCGGGATCATCAGGAACTCAAAAAGCCAAGATGGACTGTATCCCCCATGAAATGAAAAGCAAAGCGCTTTCAGAACGATAATCAAACAAATAACCAACACTGATCGAAGGAAATAGTTCTACATATAAAGGGAAACAACTCAACCAAGACAAAACCAGATTTGTCTGCCTGGATCTATTTATTAAAACAGAAAAAGAAATAATGATGAAGTATCGTCGATAAGTTTATTCGACAGATAAGTAAACCATTGAGCATTTCTTTTATGAAAATTTGTATATTTTCTTTCCTTTCTCATATTCTTTGTTTATTGTTTCCTTCTTCTCCCACGCTATATCTTTATTATATTAAAATAAGTATAAATTTACATCTCGTGTTTATTTTCTATTGCTACTGAACTGAGTGGAAAATCTCACTTTTTTAAGCGAACTGCGTTTGCAACCATATGTTTGAATTTTGTCGAAGGATAAAATTTGCAACAATATATGCAGTGTGCGAGGGGTAAATTGTCGCTATTTTATTTTTTTTTAAATTTTGCTCATGCGCGTTGTTTGTTTATCAGTTTGTCGACTGCACAATATAGTAGGGTCAGTTGGGAACCCTATGTGAGAAGCAGCATGGATGAATAGGATCCGGAAAGAACTGGATGAGTCTAATGGTGTCTACGAAGGTACAGCAGCTCGGAAAACTCTCTTTGATCGTTCTGATAAGAAAAGGACCCCCGAAGTGCCTTGAGGAGGTAGTGGTGACCTGGGTCAAGAGGGTGGCTGCTAGAAGACCCTATGTCTGGCAACAGGACTCTACACCATGCCACACATGCAGTCATGGATATCAGGCAATTTCTGCGACCACATCACACCTTATATCTAGCAACTTAATTCCCCAGACTGCAACCCCCTTGATTATTATGTATAGAGCGCAGTTTAGCGAGCAAGAAACAAAACTCCTTGTAACACCAAAGATGAACTGAAGGCAAAAATTATGACAGCATTCACCAACTCAAACAAGGAGACCGTCCAGAACAGTTGCAGGAGATTCCGAAATCGTCTGGAGGTTATCGTTGAAGCCAATGGCGATTTTATTGAATAAATCTATTCTTTAGTATTTCAGGATATTTCTGTGTAATTTCAGTAAATATATCTGTTAACATGAGATTTCAGTGTCATTTTCATTTTTTGCATAATTTAGACGGCACTTTATCCATGGCAAAGTGTTAGGGGCTACGAGAGAACGATTGAAAACACTTTTCTAAATTATCACAAAATTACATTGAATCACAAAAGAAACATTTTGGAAATTATGACTCAGCCACTAGAATCTCTTGATTTCTCTTCTACTGAATTATATGGGGTAACAGAGTCAAAGAGAAGACCCAAAGAAGGATACTCAGCCTTTTCGATGCTCGAAAAATTCTTGGAAATGTCTGTCATCTACTTGTATGTAAAAATTGTTGGAAAAAATGCCAAGAATATGTAAATCTGTAATTAAGGCAGGTGGTGGTTTTATCGAGGAAAATAAAATATGATGCTGTTGTAGCATAATTATTTATTGTTAAGACCTTATTTTTCGTCAGAATACACTTTAGATACTGAAATTTTGTGTTTTACTTAAAAACCATAAAGAATATCCCATTTTAAGATATTGTAAAGGAATGCTGAGTGACTGTAGTATACATGAACAGATTGATAGATATAGATTAAATATAAACTTTGGTACTGATTAAAAGCTGCAGTATTTCACCTAATTCCGTACATGTTTATTTCTCTATTTAAGCGGGCCTATGGAAATACCGATGGTGGTTTTATAAAGAAATATGGTTATTCTCTTTTGTTAACCTTCGTTAAGCTAAAAGCAAAAAGGAAAAAAAACGGACAATAAATTGAAATGTTGTAGAAGCCCAATTTGATTTTCATACCTTTGAATGACACGTGAACATACAAAGGATTTAAATGGTAAGTTTACCACTCACCTCGAGAAGTTTGAAAAAGCATTTTAAAAATTCATAGGTTATGTAACATCTTTTGGTTGAACATCAATAAATGTATCCATCTGGGATTGACACGCTGAGGAATTAATCTGAGGTTATTTAGTAGTTGATTACGAACTGTCAATAGCTAGATCATCAAGATTTATGTAAAGACACAGTCATATTTCTCGACGCCAACTGGCAATTTGTAGTTGCCGTTCATGTATATCTGCTGTTTAGGTCAACAGGTTTATGCAAGTTGAAATTGGCCAGATGCAACATGGCGTAAAAATGAACAATTAGTAGACATATCACAGAGTCGGAAATGACTAGAAAATTTTACCTCGAACTTACACGAACGCAGCATTTTAAAAAGAGAAAATAATTAACTCAAAATGTCACTGAACCGTAGCAAGGCTTTCGTTTTCCAAAAAATGAAGTCATACAAACAACCAAGATAAGGATATAAATGATAAGGAATGTTTATGCGATAGCATGAACCAAGATTAAAGGTTAAGGTGTGGGTTAAATACAGTATGGAATAGAAACGTCTCATGTCTAACATATGGTTACATCTGCAATAACGATCATCTTGTCTGGGAGGAGTTGGGTCCTTATTACATTATCATCGCTGTATCACTAAATCATGACTGATCCTATACATAAATAGGTGTGCGTGTGTGTCTGTGTGTTTTCCAATGCCCTTCGTATGAAATGAATAATCTAAAGCTTGAATACACAGTTAGAAATGGGTTCAAATGTGTCGTTTCCATTTGTCATGTACTGAGTAAAGCATATA